TCTTTACATGTTTACATGTTATGTAAACACCCTTTGGAAAATTTCAACATCACATTGGGTTGCGTCACCCATTATCATATTTTTTAGATTAAGCATCACTCGGCACACCTCGGGCGATCCCCACTTCATCTGATTAGATGATTTTGCCAAATGGAATTATAAGCACATGGTTCAGTTTGGTGTATTGAAATAATTCATTTTGTGTTTTAATTTAATTATATATCATGAAGTTGACAGGATCTAAGACAGTCGGTAAGTGCAAGTTTAAGTATAAATAGGAGTAAAAAAACCGCAGATAAGGTTAAAGTTCAAAAAGGGTCAAAGATCATCGCATGCCACAGTGGACGAATTTCACATTGTGAAGTTATCTCCCGTTGTTGATGTGACATTTAGCTACTGGAGTAGATCCAGGGGGGGAGGGGGGTGTCACACCTCGGTCAAAAAAATTCCAGCCCAGAATTTCCTGACAAGCAAAGAAAAAAAATAACTTAAAAGAAATCAACAAAATGAAAACAATGATAGTGGGGTCGTGGGGTCAATGTTTTCTTAAATTATTCATTTTCCACTGAAAAATTGGATAATAGACAAGATTAATTTTCACTTTCTTCAATTTTTGATACGATTCTTGTTAATTTTAATCACTGTACAGGGGGCCCTTATTTCCTGACAGTTGTAAAAGAAATAAGGGGCGCTTACAATGTATAGGGGCAGGGGCGGTTAGTGGGGATTATACAGTATTTTATTTCTTGTGTTTATATTATGTCTGTCTGTTTGTCCACAGAAACTTTAACCTTGCCCATAAGTCAAGTTTTAAGTGGGATGGGCTAGACACATGGCTTCCACATTTCAAAGGTTAATTCCTTGTGACAAGACCTTTTATTTGGGTATCACCAATTTTGACCTCTTGACCTTGACCTTGGATTTTTACCCATTTTTACAAGAAAAATACCAAACTCTAAACTTGGCCTAAGTTTTGATCAGTAGGTCTAGAGCTTTTATGCTTAACATGTGTATTCATTGTGAACTTTCAACAGGTAAAAATATATTTGACCTTGATCATAAAGTTTGACCCACTTTAAAAATATTATCTTTGGCTATTAACGTTTGAACAGGAAGTACTAGGTATTTCTTATTTCACATGTGTATTATGAGAGAGATGTTTTCACAATAAACAAACAAATTACTAAAAAAAAAATATAAAACATGAACATGTTGGTCATATCTCTTGTTCTCCCTTGAATCAGAAATGATGATATAAATATTTTAAAAATAATTATTATACGAGTTGAAAAGGTTGTGCATCTTAAAATTGAGTAAGATCTGTGGTTAAACTAGCTCTGGCATGTTTACTAGCTTTATTTTGCTGCTCAAAACACCTTGATTGACTATAATCATACTTTTTTCTGAAATGTTCAATTTTTTCAACAATGGATACATGTCATACATTTTCAACTTCTAAAAAAATTGCATGAAAAAAAAAACTTTTCAAATACTGTAACCATGATAACCCTTTCAAAATACTCATGAGCTTTTCTTGTTTCCTTATCACATTATGTCTGTTGTCCATCTGTTTGTCTGGAAAGTTTTTATATTATTAACTTCTTCTCTTGAACCACTGGGCCAATTTTAACCAATTCACATAGAAATATGTACATTTCTATGTAAGTCTGTTCATCTGTCTCAATGAATTTAACCTTGGTCATTACAGTCATATCTATTGATTGAGAAGAGACAACGCATTCATATTAAACATATGTATTTGTATTTACCTGTGACAATGGCATGATTTTTTTTTTACCTTGACCTTGAAGTTTGACATACTTGCAAAAATACTAGTAATTACATGTTTAAATTCATCATTTTGAAAGAGAAAAGATAGGGCATTCATAATATACATGCATGTATATTATTAACTGTGATAAGACTTTTCCAAATAAATCATGACTTTTGACTCTGTGACCTTGAAGCTTAACCTACTTTTCAAAAATGTAGCATTTGCTTATAACTTTTGATTGAGAAGAGATATGACTTTCACATATGATATGACATGTACGTTAATTACTCATAAGAATTCAAGATGTTTCCCAGCATGCGATGATGTTTTACCCCTTTATGTTTTACCTAATTTTCAAAATATTTCACTCTCCTGAAAGATGATTATGCTGATGTGTTAAATGTACATGTAGGAGTTCCGGGAAGAGGGGGCTTTTTTGCATAAAAAAAACCATCATTTTTCGACCCCCATTTCACCCCCCGGGACAAAATCAAAATTCTGAAATCTTACTGCACATGACACCACCAACCATTTCCCAAAAGATGAATAGGCTACTATGTAAAATAAAGGAGGAGTTCAGGGAAGACGGGGCTTTTTGCATAAAAAACGTCATATGTTTTGACCGCCATTTGACCCCCCAGGGTAAAATAAAAATTCCGAAACCTTACTACACATCTACATGACACCACCAACCATCTCCCAAAAGATGAATAGGCTACTATATATGTAAAATGTAGGAGGAGTTCAGGGAAGACGGGGCTTTTTGCATAAAAAACGTCATTTATCGACCCCTATTTGACCCCCGGGGCAAAATCAAAATTCCAAAACCTTACTGCACATCTACATGACATCACCAACCATCTTCCAAAAGATGAATAGGCTACTATGTAAAATGTAAGAGGAGTTCAGGGAAGAAACTGTGACAGACGGACGGACATGAGTAACAACAATACATGTTTACCCAAACTTTCATTAGAAAGTGCGGGTATAAATATATATACCCAAACTTTCATTAGAAAGTGCGGGTATATCTAAAGCAAGATTAGATCTATCCAAAGCATTCGACAAAGTATTGCACAAGGGTCTTCTTTTCAAATTACAAACGTATGGAATATCTGGTGATCTTTGACTGTGGTTTACAAGTTACTATAGAAGTAAATCGCAAAAAGTTATGTATAAAGATCTGCTATCATCCATCCTCAATATAAACGCAGGTGTGCCTCAAGGCTCAGTTCTAGGTCCTCTTTTATGTTTGATATATATTGATGATGTTGCTGAAAATACGCTTACAATGTGTAGATTATTTGCTGATGACAATTCACTGCAAAATGCATCATATAATGTACTAGATATAGAATACAGTTTAAACCATGATCTTGTTGTTTTAGATAAATGGTCGAGTAAATGGCTTTTAAGATTTATTCTAGCAAAAACATGACAAAATCCTGGAAAGCAACCTAGCTTACCTTTACATTTGTTTGTTATATGTTTTAATTTAACAGTAACGCCAGACTGGATTCAGTTCTTTGCATAAACAGAGCATCATGTTCTATAACAATCGGCAGATACAGGAAAGTCTTAATAAAATATCTTCACTTTTTTACAAAATTATTTCATCTCAATGTATAAATTTATTTATATATTCACAGTCAATAGAAACGCAACACTCTTATTTTAATTGAAAATTATAAACGGAATAAAACTATGCACCAGAAAGCCTAGGACATCCTTTACTTTGTCAAATCAGTTATTTAACGATTGAGTGATTTTCATTCCATGACCGGAAGTTGATTTTAAACCCTCTTAATTGAACACTTGTCAGATAACTTTTAAAACATCCTACCTTCCGACCATTTAATTAAAATGTACTAGTCCGCCATATACAATATACCCAGCCCGATTTTTACCATGCATTAGATTTATTCATGTCTTGATATGAGCGAAATAAATATTCATGGGCATATTTAAATGCCTGTTTTTTTTTCAGATACCGAGGTCGAATATTTTCTCTAACTTTGCGTACTTTAGTAACCTTTAGACTTCCGGTCAAGGAACTGTCATCAATGCTTATGAAACACATGAGCCCGAAAATTCGTTATGTAGTGTATATTTGCATCTGTACCTCTCCTTTTTCTTTTTTTGAGAATTTCAAGCATTAGCAATGAAAATACGTGTTTTCAATCATTTTGAAAAAAATAGGCATCATAATGGAGAAGGATATCGTTCCGAAATTTTAGTACAATACTTATGATTTACAGTTACAAAACCTTAAAACCCCAAAATATTGTCAAAAATCTCATGAAAAATGCCATTTTTTGATTTCTGAAAACAGGGCTAAAATCAACTTCCGGTAATGGAATGAAAATCATTCAACCGTTAAAGAACTGATTTGGCAAAGTCAGTTACTCTCGTAACTTTTTTGGTACATAGTTATATCTGTTTATAATTTTCATCCTAAAATTAGGGTGTTGCGTTTCTATTGAGGATGAGTACTAGTATATATATTTTTAATCTTTTATTTCCAGTGATTCTTTGGTGTGTTGTTGAACTTTCAGGCACTTTCGTTTTCATTTACACTGCTGATTACCAAACCTCATTATCTGTGTTTCTAAAACAAACCTGATGTAAAAGGTTAGGTGAGGTATTTACTGACCCACAATCTTCATACATCATCAGGGCATGCACATATAATATGACAACAATAAAGTAGCAAAAATTGTGTACGCTATACAGATTTATCCATTGTACTTGTATAAGATCTTTTTTTAAAATAGTATCACTGTTTCCAACATTGTAATGACTGTAACTAAAATGCAATATTGTAGTTTCATTAATTTTTTTTGGCATCATTTTTTGTGGATTTTCTAAAACAGGCGTTTTCAAAGATAAGTAATTTCGTGGACGAAAGCATTGCCTATACAAATGAATAACAAAATTCTTAATTCAATGAATATTTGAATTCTTGGATCAGCTCAACAACGAAATCTTCGAAAATTGGTGCTCAACGAATTTTGATGAAACCACAGTAATACAGTCCAGCTGAATTGCTCCAACGAGCACTGTTACTTTGATGAACAATGAAAGAATTTTAAAAACGTCCTACACAAGCAGAAATGGCAATTTAGGATGTATGTATTTATTTGGTATATAAGAAAATTACATAGAAATATGCATTCAAATACTACATTTTCAAACATACAATTCACTTTAAGAAAAATAAGACACAAACGTAATAATTTCTCTGAATTCTAAATAAGACTTTAACAATTTTACTTCGATTCATTTCAAAAATAAGAACAAAAAACATGAACGCTAAAAGGGAAGTACTAATTAATCAAATCGGTGGGAAGATATACACAATGTACACAAAAAAGAAATCCTTTGACAGTTCCAAGGCCAGATGCTTTGAATATTAGGAGTTGTTAATTTTAGTGTAAATGGTTGAGAAATGAGATAAATATACTATTATAATTTTCCAGAAAATCCTTGCTACTGCAAGGTGGTAAAATATCGAATGAAGTTTGATAGGAATTACATGCCAGTTCACTCAAAAACTTCGGGGACTAAAGCGACAAAATCAAATTAAAGTCTATGCTTATAAATAAAAAAAAAGTAAAACAACAAAAGCAAAAAATAAAATTTACTTGATACGTTCAAATACCAATTTAAGTAAGGAAAACTTACATTCAGAGACATGGCATATTAAAATACAATTCAGTTAAAGATTTTAATTATTTAAAAATTATCTGGGGAATGTTGTTTATCCTTTATATTTCATATAAAATTATGCAGATTCTTTGGCTAAAAGAAATGAACGTTTTCATACTATTGATTTTTGTATAATTTATTTCAACAATACAAATCATGTCTTAACTCTTAACAAAAATATGCAATAAAACTTTGTTATTGAATTAAAATACAAAGACAGTTAAAATATTTCAAACAAATGCTTGGTATACGAATGAAACTGGAAACTTTGATTAAGATATTTTTGTATGTTACAGTAATAGATATTGATAAAGTTTTCAATTGCTATGAAAAACATCATGTCAATACTTGATATACCCGGTATATATTCAGACACCTTTATGTGGAAAACAGCTTATTTTCTCCCTGAAATAAAAAGAATATATTTAAACATAGAAATGACACGGATCTATGCAGATTACACAGGACCGGAAATAGACAAGTTTCATTTTAGTTTGTCAATGAATATTATTTTGTAAATAAATCATTTTAACTTTTGAATCTACATGGTATTAATCATGGAAATCTAATAAAGTCATGTTTTGTATTGATATGCCCTGCTACTTTTTCTGAAGCTATTGTTACATATATTAAACAGTATGACATCATGTTTTCTCTTATTCTGAACGTTTTCAACAACGTTAAGAAAAAATAAATCAAAGAGTAATGTTTCATGAAAATGATATTTATGTTTCTTAACATAATGTTGTGTTGATTCCTTGTAAGCTTTTACTGTAAAGATGGATTATTTAATACGTAGATTATATGAAAAACATTGTTTTGAAAATTCAATAATATTTGTGCTTTCTGTTGCCAAACATTATATTCGTTCTTATATTCATTATAATGTCCATCTTTTATATCGATATTACTGCGGCAAATTTCTGTGACGAAGTGTGTGATACATGTATATTATTAAAGGAATGAAGCTTATTTCAACTTTTGTTATACGATATAACATAACTTGGGGCAGTTTACGCTTTATATACCGCGAAGTGGTTTATAAAGAAAGCGTAAACTGCCCCAAGTTATGTATATCGTATAACATAAGTTGAAATAAGCTTCATTCCTTATAATTTAATTTTAATGTAGACAATTTTCCCATTTTTTCCTTTGGAAAAACGCTTCAAATATAGCATATTTAAGGAATGACTCTAATTCTTGGCCAAATTATTCGATGATAACCTGGTTTGGGTCAGTTTACGCTTTATAATTCGCTTCGCGGATTATAAAAAAGCGTAAACTGACCCAAACCAGGTTGTCATCGAATAATTTGGCCAAGAATTAGAGTCATTCCTTATAATTTAATTTTAAAAAAATTAAACAACTGTGGGTGTAAAATTGTGTTGCTTTCTATGAGTTCAAATTTGCCGCCCAATAATACATCCCTAGTAACGGAAGTGATATGAAACAAGGGGAGGTAATAACTGATATACAGATCTAGCAGCCATGATGTTTGTATACACGAGGTAAGATCGAGCTACTGTTTGAAGTTAAAGGTACATTTATTAAATCTGGAATTTCCCATGAATTTCAAGGATGGGAAATGGGGGGATTGTATGGATACAGATGATTCAGCTGGTTGTCAAGGGGGTGTGTCCTCATACCAAACCAGGTTATTATGTTTTATTCTGTGTTCCTTTTTGGAAATCAACCAATGAGAGATAAGAATAAAAACAAAATTAAATTATTTTAAATTAACGTTTTCGACGTCAATCATTGTGACGTAGGCAAGTTATGTTATACAAAATGGAAGAAGCCGTTTAACCAATCAAATGACGTGTTACAGCTAAAATTAACTTATTTTCTTCTAGAATTAATTATCTTAATTTAAACTGTGAAGAAAAAATTACTAACCTTTCCCCCATATTTCCAAAAGTTCTTTTTTGTTTATTCTTTTGTCAGAATCAATCTTGCACCTTGGACACGGAGGGTCCTCTGTAGAAATTCTCAAAAGTTCTTCTTCAGAAATAAATCGCTTTTCATCTTCCTGTGTTATGATGATTGGTTTACATTGACATGGAAAGCCTATCTCGTAATCTACATTTCCATGGAATGTTTTTGTCAGATCTGCTATTGTCTCTTCAATCTTTAAACGGATACTCCTTGTTCTTTCTTTACGCAGTGGTAAGTCATTTCCTGTCGGAGTGAGTACCTGGATTTGAATTGATGTTTTGTTGACTGCAATAACAACGGTGTGATACTCATCTTCATGAGTTCCATGAAATATTGCTACATTTTTGTAAAATGATTTGTCTTTAGTATAAAATAATGCAAAGCAAGCAACTACAAGGCGGAAGAAAAAAAAGTGGGGTAAATATGATTTGAAATAAAACGAAAGGATTGGCGATTTGTTTAACGTCGTCCAATGTTCCTTTTTCTCAAAATGCATCTTGTTCATGCTTGGAACATAGTAGCATTGACTTCCTTTCGGGTATTTCTGATCCATTTTTGCGAGAATTCCAAGTTTTTCCATAAAGGGTATTAACTTAAACAAGTACTTCTCGTACGATGATCCCTTGCCAATTTTCTCCTCCCATATCTTGCGCATCAGTGATTCCGTTATCATACCGCAATCAAAATATTGATCCCAATCATCATGGGTTGCCGTTTCTGTTGATACATGCTTCCGATCAGTTATTATGTATTTAAATGCATCAACAAACCACTGAATGTCCAGGATAACATCCGGTCCTAAATCTCTAAAATACAGAATCATTCCAATTTCGTGATAAAATTTCAGCATATCATCAAATTCGTCTTTCGAAAGATATTTAGAAAATTTCTGAAGCTCAACTCGAGAGGATATTTTCAATTTTTGTTTTTCTCTAATAATTTGCTCGAAGTCAGACCACTGTTTCGGTATTTTCTCGCCCCAGTGCGAAAGGGATTCTGTTGTTTTTGCAATGTAGCGTCTTACTTCTTCAAGGTCTTGAAGCTCTTTTTGTGATCTTTCTTGGGGAGGAAGTTCCATTTCAAAGTGTTTACAAACTATATTTTTTATATTATCTGGCATTTGTTTACGTAGTTTGACGTAAAAACTTCCATATGCAGATGCATCCTTCTCGTAAGCCTGAAGATATATAAAACATTATTCCAGTATTGAATTATTCATAAACCTTAATCTTAGAAGAGTGTGTTTGACATTTTGCAGGGTTCCCAAAACTGAATCATGCAGTCGATTTGATATTTCTGGGTCAATACAAACCTAGGTTCGCCATACATCTCGTAATTAGAGAAATGGATTGATGAGCATTTTAAATTACAACTAATATACGTATGGATAAAAATATATTGAAATTCAGTCTCCATCTGTTTTACTCTAAATTAAATATATAGTTACTTTTAAACAGAATACATTAATACCTCTGATTTTTTGTATGAATCTTTATGTGTTATTAGCACGATGATAGGCGCTAAAAGTTTCTTGCGTTCACTGCTTTCTGTGTTGTAAGATTTTGTTTTATTACGTTGGCCATCATCTTCCTGGCCATATGTTCTAATAGTCTGCAGCCAGAATGTGAAATAATCTAAATGATGGAGTTGAAATAAAAACAAATATTATTTAGCAATGAAAAAGATCATAAATTTGAAACAATAATCATTGTTTCAATTTATTTTAATTGCTGTAGACATATAATTTACCGGTAACTGAATATATAAGACAAAACTAATCACCTAGCGCTGTCCAGTCTTCAAACAGAGTGCCCTGCACACAATTTCTGTCATCTTGTTGTAGCTTAGTGTTTAAATCCTGAGTCATGTCTACGACTAACAGATACATTGCTCTGCGGGATAAGTAGACTTGGTGACAAGCATAATATGCTACTTGTCCTGCAAAGTCCATCACACTCAGTAATTGTTTGCTGTCATTTTCTTTCTGCGGAGAAGCATTCCTTTCAAAGTCTAAAAAAAGTCGGAATTGTGAAGTACTTGGACATAGATTTTATGATGAATTTATTCTTGTACCAACCCCTATGTATAGCCCAATGGATGTTTTGAATTAATACCTTCTTACTTATATTTACATTTGTGACTTGTTAATACTTTATATTTGCCTGATTGTTACTTTTAACGTTTAAAATGTATTAATTTTCAAAACCAACGGTTTGTATGTTATTCACTGAACGCGCGTCGACCCTTTATGACGTCACTGAGAAATTACGTCAAACATTTATCCATAAGCACATCCATGACCTTTTGACCCCGTACCTTTCTTTATACAGTTATAGATAAACATTGCTTTCAGTAGTAATATATAAAGGAAACATTTGCAAATGTAAATATTTGATGTTTACGATTCACTGGGTGCGTTCAATCGCCAAAGTCTGCTCACCACAACTGCACGGACTGACAATATATTGTGTGTTTGTTTTGCTTTCGAACATGTCTACTCTGAATTTTTTGAATTATGGTATTAATATTTTTCATTAGTACACAAGATTGCCAATTTTCCTAAGGATTAAGAATAGAATTAAAACTTGTGAAAGTGCAAGGATGTGTCAATCAAACCCGCCAAAAAATTAAAAGTTTTAATAACTTTTGAATGAAATAAGATTTTTAATTAATTTTTGTATGAAATGCTATCAAAGTATATAATTCGTGATTTTATACAGAAAATATTGACTTCAAATCTGTGTCCAAGTACCTTTAAAGTACATAGTAATGACAATTATATTTATTTACATGTAAGCATTGCATACTTTCATTACGTCGCCCCGTAATGAAGACAATCGAAATATTTTTTTATTGCAAGACCTAAAATTTTGTTTTCCTATATATATTTCTACTTACATGTACATATTTGCATTGGTTTGGAAAATCTTTAGGAAAATCTGGAGTTGTTCATCACCAGGTCTATTTGTGATTTTCACATTTTTGTATTTACAAAATGCAACAGTTAGTTTTTAGCATGGAAATAGAAAAAAAGTGCAATATTTTAAATTTTTCATGTCCTTTGCTTTCCTTTAGTGTTCTCACCGGTCACGGTAGCCTAGTAGTAGAGCGTTCGCTTCGTGATCGGGAGGCCCGGGTTCGATTCTCGATCGCGGCGCCGCGTCATACCTAAGACGTAAACAAAGGTTGTGACTGTTCCTTCGCCAAGCGCTCGGCACTAGAAGTGAAAGTCACGGGTCTTTCGGATATGACCTTAAAAACGTAGGTCCCATGTCACGGTAGGCGTTGGCACGATAAAGAACCCTCACTGCTCAATGGCCCTGAGTGCCGAGTATAGGTCTAAATTTGAAGCCCTTCACCGGCATCGGTGACGTCTCCATATGAGTGAAAAATTCTCAAGAGGGACGTTAAACAATATACAATCAATCCTTTAGTGTTCTTGTTTTATTTATTGTAACTGTCCTGTAAATCTGTAATGTAAAAGTGCTGATTTTTCGAAATTGTTTTGCATATTGTGAACGATCTTTCTACCAAACACAATGAATTTGCAGAAAATTTGTCGCAGTTTCGATAGAGAGAAAGCACAATTACTTTTTTTTCAAATTTTTTGTGTGGGACATTTTTTGTAAAATGATCATTGCGTAGAGGCAATGTTCATATTTATATTTTTTTGTGAAATGCTTAGCGTTGTGTGAACATAATGCAACATTTAACATTACATTTGTGACATTAATAGAACACAGTATAAATTAGATCAGAGTAACATAAGTTACGCTATAAACGTGATGAGATATCAACAACTTATTTTTTATTTTCTTTCAATAGCAGTAAATTTTATTTAAAAAAAGGTCGAGTCAGAGGTCAAAATCAAACAGCTCTAAAATTATTCGATTCAACAATATATGACGGTTTTGCAGGCGACGATTTGATTGGTTGATAGAACTGACCTCTTGCGTGACTCTCAATGGGATGAAGGCAATCAATGATTCTTGCGAAATAACTACTAGCAGTAAGATTTAAAAACGGAAAAAATGGAATTATTATTGAAAAAGAAAAATATCCTCCTAATCTATCTTAGGCTTAATGAGGTATAGAAACAATGGAATGTATTTTTCTTTTTCAATAATTTCTTCTTACAATGTGCAAGTATATAATTCTTCAAAAGTAATTACAATATCTGTATTTTTTAAAATTATTATTTTTAAATTGTTTCAAGGACTCCGATAAATTCTCCAAATCACGAGTTAAGCCGTATCAAAATATAATTTTATTATCCTATGAAATATCAATTACTTAGTAGTTAATATTCAATTTTATTTATTAATTTACTTCATTGTTTGCCTATCATTTTATTTCTTGTAGAAACTATTAATGATATTGTTGATTTACTATCCTAGTCTCTTATTGTGTCAATTACAAACACATTAATCAAAAAAAAAATTTATTCGATATTTTTCATTTTTTTTCATTCAACATTTACATTTTTTATATTTTCATTTTATTGCCAACCTATTTTGTCATTAGTTTTTTCTATTTTTTATGGATATTGACGGCGGTTGGAAACGTGTTGTACATGTATTTTATGCATAAAGGGAGAAACATTTATCTCCAAACTAGCAATTCATAATTTAGAACATTTAAGATCTAGAATGTGTTCAATTACGGTGAAATTAGTTGGTGATCTATGAGTAATGGTAAAATATAAATCACTATAGGACTTCAATAACATTAGGATCAGTTGTTTTTTAAGGCGACAACCAGAATATCAAGTTTGATGTATGTCAATCAAATAGTTCTTAAGATATCAAGCAGTCAATTTCTTTCAGTTTGACCTTTAATCTTGTGACCTCAAAAATATTGTTCTCTATTGTACAACGTATACCCTTCCCTTTTTCTCTAAAATGAGTCTTCCTTCCTTCCTTTCCTTCTCTCTCTCTCCCTTGTAATAAACTTTAGTTCGCTTGATTAATTTTTGTACAATGTATCCTTCCCTTTTCTCTCTAAAGTAAACCATCCTTCCTTACACACACTCTCTCTCTCCCTTAAAATAAATAACATTGTATATATGCAAAAAAAAATAACCGACAAACCGAATAGAGTGCTTCCATTGTCATCTTCAGATTTTCCAATGAGAAACAGATCCTGGTGAACGTCCAGTCCTATAGTTGTCTCTGTTGGTTGATTGGTATCTTCCTCCCCTTTCGTTCTCTTCAGATTACGTAGTACAGTTGTCTTCCCTGCCCCTGTACAGCCCACTAGGAGACACCTTGCACGATACATAGGAACACTGTCTTTATTCATGTTGCGTACGAATCGTTTTCTTTCTTCTAAATCCCATGTTAAAACTTCTTCTGGTATATTCACTAAAAAATGTGATGAAACTTTCATGAAAACACAACTTAGTAAGATAGGTGCAATAATAACAATTAGTTCTAGATATTACAAAGACCGCTATCTCTTAATACATATTACATATAGAGAAATATAGTAAGAGGGATATGGAGATAACGAACAGTATTCAATCTCAAAGTCCATTGAACAATATACAAAATAAGAGCAGAGCAAACACGGACCTCCGAAATATCAGAGGTGGGATCAGGTGCCATGGAGGAGTGAGCATCCCCTGCCGACCGGTCACACCCGACGTGTGCTCGTTGTCAGGATCAGGAAATAACGGGAAAAAAATCCGTCGTCAATTCAGTGTATAAATAATGGACTAACAATTGGTATGAAAAACGTCAGTCAGCATTTGACTCAATGATAAATTGTATTTGCTGACAAGGTCATTGTATCGACCATAGAACTTACGAAATAACGACTGCTGATATTCTTGTTACATCAACTTGCTTGTCAATAATTTACCTCTTTTAAGAAAATGTTCATACGTAGAGCATAATACAAACGATCCACAATATTCAAGAAATTACGTTTCACTCTGTCTTCTTAAAAAATCATTTATTATTTTCGGAATAAATGAGCCCATACTCACTATGCCTCCAAATGGTCATGACTTAAAAAGACGTGACTTAAGAATTGACGTAATTTAAGTCTGATTTACTTAAAGGGTAAAGTCGATCCCTCCAAAACACTCATTTGTTTATGAAAATACTCAAGTTTACTAACCTATTACTGAAAGTTTTTTATTTAAAAAATACAATTGAAATTTGAATACAATTAAATCTTTTTTAGTCCTACACTTGACCAATAGGAAATTATTTGACTAACTATGAATTTTTTTTTATAAATATACATTAATATTACATTAATATTACTGTATCCATGGTGCATGAAGAAGGATATTGAGATAACGAACAGCATTCAAGATTATGAAGTCCGACTGATTTTCTGAAAATGATGATATGAGAATATATTCGCAATTTTCCAAGGCTAAAACTTGCTAATTTGTATTTATACTGATCTTTTCTATGCATAGTGTCGGCAAGAAGAAGATGAAACTATCAGTTGTTTAAAGGGGATGGTTTAAACCCCTTCTGGTATTGTTTCTGACAGTTTAGTTTACAGTCTGTCATTTAAAATCAATTCATGTTATTTTTTAATTTATTTATTTGGGAGGAGTGTGTGGCATTGATTTCGAAATGAAAAACGTAATTTTGTGTTTGGTTGATCCATAACAGTTAAATAATAGGTCTTTGAAAAGTTTAAGCATGCTGTTGTCGCTACATGTACACACATAGACTGGCTTTAAAGACGAAAATGAGTCAGAATTTTTACAAAGTTTATGGGGTTTTTTTATGGGGGGGGATGGAAGGGGGTAGCAGGGCAGTTAATGTTTTATTGTGTCTGTGGCATATGTCTATTTTATTTCTATGTATATCCGCTATAATCCTATTGAGTAAAAATGCAAGTGAATTTATCCTTTTAAATCGTTTGGCGAATATATTGGAAAATATGCTTACAAATGAATGCAACAATTCATTTTTTTCAAAACACACCATTCACAAGAACCCCATGCCTCAATAGAAACTTAAGCTATCATTAGTCAAGAAAATTTTCTCTTTTCAAGTACACACATTCGCCTGTCCGTTCAACATTTAAAAGACGTTTTCGATCTATTCTTTAGTAAATTATAGTTATAGATTAATTGTACGACTGACTTAGATCTTTTTTGTCATAAGTGCCTTTAAAACCCTTACGTATGCAACATTATTGTTCAAGTATATTTAAATACGTAGATATTTCTCTTATTTCAATTTTTTTACTAGATCTGGCAATTAATTTATATTGAATAATTTAATTTTAGTACATTACAAAATTCATTAGTAAAGATTTCAGTGCCTCTTTGAAATGCTTGTACTTGCATATGAAAAATAAAGAATCAAAAGAAGTAAAGACAAGAAAACATTGATGAACCCATCAATTCTCGCCCGGGAAATATATAAAGTAAACAATGAAAGAGTCTTGATCACCAAGCCGCTTCGATGTGTGAAAAGGTATGCGTCTAATTGATAGATACGATAGTCGAGAATATTTTGAAAACTTATAGTCGGATAAAAATCAAACAAAAACGATACTATTTTAAACTTGATCAGTTCCTCAAGTAAATGTTGGCTGCATGCATGAAATATAATTTGAAGTTGGAAATATACATCATTTATATTCAAAAATGTATTATTTTTCCATTTAAGAATATAAAACACGAACTGTGCAGAGTACGTTTTTATGCGAGAAGTAAAATTCGATGTTCTAAAAAAAGGACCTGTCGTTTTTTCGATACTAAATGATTAGCAACTTTATGTATTAAATATGAAAAGGCATACAAGTATTTATTTTTACAGATTCACTTTATCGAAGTAAATATTATATGTATATCATACTCGTGATTCATAAAGGGAGAGAACATTCTGATTACCAATCTTTTCAATGTTTAGAAAACCTTAAATTCTCAATAACTTTTCCCACCCCAATCCCCAGATACCAACACTTAAACTTATATGTACAGAGCATCCCGGTCCTCTAGGCCGCAATAAACTATCAAATTTAGGAAATGTTATCTTTTACAGAAATAATACTTACAAAAATCACTGATGCTGTCATGAATCTCCCTGTCAGACATGGTACAGTGTGTGATGATGTCCAGCTGTAGTTTGTCTATGAAGAGGTCGTACATCTTCTCCGGACTGTCCGGTACATACAGACATCTCTCTCCCTCACTCCTCTCATACTCCCAGGACCGGCAGTATTCTGATATCACGTCACGTGACGCCGTGGTCAGGAAAAACTCCAGATCACTGTCCTTCACCAAACACTCCGTAACAAAGGCGTACATGACGTCATGTTGGATGTCGTCTGATACAAACGTTATCAAACCGTCACGTGTTTCTGTGATTCCACCAGGAAGATCTACCGAGCCGTCATCAGTAATATCAGGGAAATATCTGTCTCTGATTTTGTCTCTTGTGTCTCTGTATGATTGTTCATCGAGTTTAAACTGATATTTCTCAGTGAACAGTAAGCAGTATAGTAGACATTTGATATTCGGTGAATAGTTATGGTGTTTACCTGCAAATATGAAAATCAAAGATGTTAATAAACACAAATTTAAATTATTACCGTCCATTTCACATGATCATAATATATATCTATATATTATTCAATTTAAGGTAGTCCAAACCTCAGGTTCTTACAATTAACAGTTAAGTAATTGAAAATACTCATAAAAATATCCCTGAATCAACAAAGTAATATTTAATTTACCCTTAGTTTTTCTTTAATGTTATATAGGGAAAATTGTCAAATCTCCAATATTTATGCAGAAAAAGCGAATAGGAATATCATTTATCCATTTTCAATTTGCAAATTGATCAACAAATATATTCAGGTTAAAAAGCAGTAGGTATCCAGGCATTTAAAGAAATTGTCATGATTTTTATACCTATTTAGTATTTAGTGTCTTCTATTTTCTTCATGTATTATAAAATACACAGTGTAAAATGCTTTTGTTATCATTGCAAGACATCACAAATCACTTATAATTTCATAACATGCCACATAATATCGCGTATACCAATGAGTAGGTCGCAGTTATCTAACTTACTACCGCTCTTTTGCGCGGGAGTCGAGAAAGGTCTAAATTTTGGGGGCACATGACATTATTTACATTATTTTCAAATGTGGATATTTTACTTGAACAAGAGGCCCACGAGCCTTATAGGTCACCTGAATACTGAGTATTGTGTATCAACTTTCAAACAATTAAATTCCGTGTTTTAAACCAGAGGCCAGGAAATTCACAATTTTGAAAGAGGCACCATTGCTTATCATAATTATAAACTTAGCATGCTTATTCTATCTACTTAATATCAAGAGGTAGATCAGAGTAACAGAAAGAAAATGCACTTCCACTTAATAACAAGTTGTGCACCTCAACCCAAAGGAACCACTGACCCTGGGGATACATATTTCAAAATTTTGCACATTTTATCATAAAATGGTTAATTAATACCAAAATAAAGCAGATTTCAAGGCATTAATTTATTTTCAGACTATGTAAACCCATCCTCACCCCCCGACCCAGGGAGAGGGGGGGGGCATAAAAAATATCCATTTTGCTAGATGCAACTTTCTTTGTCATAAATATATAATATACTGTGATCATTGGCATAAAACCCAGAAGCAAAGGAAAAGAATTAATGCATTTTCACTATATAACTATATAATCAATAGAGCCCCCCTACACCAGAACCCCTGACCCTGGGGACACAAAATTCACAATTTTGGAAGAGGCACTCTTGCTCATCATAGCTATATGCTTAGTTAGTTTATTTAAAACCCAGAAGTAGAGAAGAGGATTTTCAAAGAATAAATACATTTTCACTATATAATCAATAGAGCCTTCTTCCCCTCTTACACCTGAACTCCTGACCCTGGGGCCATAAAATTCACAATTTAGGAAGAGGCACTCTTGCTCAACATACCTATGCACTTAGTTAGTTTATTTAATACCCAGAGTTAGTTTATTTAATACCCAGGAGCAGAGAAGAAGATTTTCAAAGAATAAATGCACATTCACTATATAATCAATAGAGCCCCACCCTAACACCAGAACCCCTGACCCTGAGGCCATAAAATTCACAATTATGGAAGAGGCTATCTTGCTCATCATAACTATCTACTTAGGTAGTTTATTCAAAACCCAAGAGCAGAGAAGAAGATCTTCAAAGAATAAATGCATTTTCACCATATAATCAATAGAGCCCCTCCCCTAACACTAGAACCCCTGACACTGGGGACATAAAATTCACAATTTTGGAAGACGCACTCTTGCTCAACATAACTATGCACTTAGTTAGTTTATTTAATACCCAGGAGCAGAGAAAAAGATTTTCAAAGACATAATGCATTTTCATTATATAATCTATGTAGCCCCCCCCCCCCAGCACAAGAATCCCTGACCCTGGGGCCATGAATTTCAAAATTTTGTTAGAGGACTCAATGCTCATTACATTCATGCCAACAGTTTGCCTGCTTGATGTCCAGGAGTAAAGAAGAAGATTTTTAAAGATTGCAATAATTTTGGTGGTTTTGGCCCCACCCCTCAGGCCCCAGGGGATAGGGACCATGAAATTCACAATTTTTGTTCCCCTTTACCCATAGATGCTGCATGCCAAATTTAGTTAATTTAAAAATTGGTTCAGTGGTTTCAGAGAAGAAGCTGAAAATGTTCAAATGTTAACACACGACGGACGACGGACGACGACGGACAAAAACAGATAGTTGTTAGATTACCATTTGTGTCTTTTTAGATCACATGAGTATACTCAGGTGACCTAAAAACACACAAATGGTAATCTAACAAATAAGCTATATGATAAACGTGATGACTTAAACTTTTCTATCGTCAACTTCCCTTACTTATGCAGCAATTTACCTTCATCACCTGCATACGGAGTATATATATCTCAGTTGATTCGATACGCAAGAGCATGATGCTCTACGTATGAAAAATTTCTTAAACGAGGTAAAGTATTGAAAAGCAAGTTGATGCAACAGGAATATCGACTCGTTTAAAGTCATCATTTCGAAAGTTCTATGGTCGATACAATGACCTTGTCAGCAAATACAATTAATCATTGAGTCAAATGCTGACTGACGTTTTTCATACCAATTGTTAGTCCATTATTTATACACTGAATTGACGACGGATTTTTTCCGTTATTTCCTGATCATGAAAACGAGCACACGGCGGGTGGGACCGGTCGGCAGGGAGATACTCACTCCTCCATGGCACCTGATCCCACCTCTGATGTTTCGGAGGTCCGTGTTTGCTCTGCTCTTATTTTGTATATTGTTTAATGCAGTAGTGACAATCGAATGATTCGAATAATTTAATGCCGAAAACTCAATGTTTTGCCAGATATTGAACTTCAAATAGTAGATTGTCAAATAAGGAAAGTTTAGAATATTTTATCTGCTTTAAAATGTGAGGATTTTCAATGAAAATTTAACGAGAAATTCCGCTTAGTTAAAGATATCGTTAAAAATGTAATAATTTAGGATTGGCTCCTCTTAAAAATTTATAAGACTAGTTCAGCAATTGTTTAGCAAGGTATTCCACCAGGATCGCAGCACAGTTAAGGTTACCAGTGGAAATATCGGCAATTTTTTAAGATGAAAAATACATACTTTATTAGGATAGGCGAATCTTTTTAGGAATTCACTGATATCAAAATAATGTAATGTGGTTTAGATCTACATGTTGGGGACATTTAGATTTTTTTATTTAGACTTGTCATGTAATGTCGACGTCACATGACTTTGGCAATTATACTTGCAGTTTAGAGGTCATCTATAAATCTTAATATTGCAAGGGCATAACCAAGTTAATAAATAAAATACTAAAATACATATCGCATTCAATTTAATGGCTTTTCATTTTACTGCAAATAATATTTTATTTGAGAACAAAAGACATTTTTCATTGTACAAAATTTCATCTGATCAGCCTCTCGCTGTGTAAAAACAGCGTCATTTTTGCAAGATGACGTCACATTGACTAGTGCATTGCGATCGATGCATCGTTTATATACTGTTGTGTGGTATTTAACAAATGACAAAACTGCATGTAATAGTAAGTTTGTATGTAGTATACAGCTATCCAGCTGTTGAAATAGCAAATAATTTCATTTTGTGGTATTTTGAAGACCTTATATTATGCGTGACGTCATAGTAAACATTTCCCGTACAAATTAGGCCCCGCCTCCTTACCGTAACCTTAACTTTTATTTATCTGTCCTTATAAATTTTACAATGATCGATCTTTCATTGTATTCAATAGCACTTTGCCCCCACCCAACAGACGTTTCCTACCTCCATCGTGAAAGAGTTCCGCTTAGTTAAGTAATCGCGATATCAAGTATTAGCATTGGTTTCTAAGGCTAAATTTAAGAAAGTCTTATATCTTTTATACTGTATTTATTTTTTTTTTCCTTTTATAGGGTAAAATTGTCAACTTTTTATAAGACCCATTCTAATATTTCCAAAAACCTTGAATTATATAAAGATAAATAAATGAAAATTTTTGCATTAAAAAAATATTTTCAAGCTTCATTAACCCCTTCACTTCCGTACCGGTCAAATTGACCGGTGGCGCGTTAAAACACGACTTCGCGAAAATAAGATCTCCGTATCTATTTAATGGTAGCATGAAGGTTTATAAACTATATATCATCTTTTTGGAAATTTTCTCTACTTTTAAAATATCTAAAAAGATTATGTCTTGATTGCCGGTATTTAATCGATTTTACGTTGTAAAGACAAACGTGACTTTTTGAAAATGGCGTAATTTTCCAAAGCGATTGCCGATTTTCCAGACGATTGACAATTTTTTTCATGTTTAACTTTATGAAGAAAGCATGGTATATTCTTAAAGCATATTTTCTCTACTTTTAAAATATGTAAAAATTATTGTTATTACTTTAAGGTATATTTTAAAAACAAGAATTTTCTTGCACTTATGTGTTTTTTCTCGGTTTTATTCGTAATGTTTAAACAAAGCTCAGTTTTACGTTTATTTCTGTGTAGAAATAGGGAAAACAAAATAAAGCTGGTAAAAGTGGAGAAAATTTCCTTTCCAACAAGCCCTTACAGGCCTTCTTACGCTCAGTATTTTTTTAATTACGATAATTTGAATTTGTGACCTTTGCATAGTTTTTATGGAAAAATCGGTCAATATTTACCATGTAACGTCAAGGTCGATATTGTTGCGTCTTACTCGAAACAACAAATTCTTTTATAAGACTTTTTTGACCATTTAAATATATATTTTTTACTGAAATAAATGCATAATACAAAAATACATTTAAAAAAACAAATATTTACTATCGTTCTGCCTTTTGTGTGATCGAAATGAAATGTCAATTTATTCATCCACATGTAATGATGAAAATTTCATGTAGTGATGTACAATGTTGAGAAAAATTGTAGATTCCCTAAACGTCGATCTTTACTAAAAAAAAAAAATCAGATTTTAATATAGTTGTATCTTGTCAATTTTATACTTAATTTGCAAATTAATTAGATCTATATTAGCACGAAATTTAACAAAACAAGAATTCGCATTTATAAATAAATACGACTCATCACTGTATGAGTTGATTCGAATTGAAATAACCACGTGTTTCCGCTATGGTGGCAGTAAACAAACAACATGATGGTGATCCGAAATCTGAACGTTAACATGATTATTTCACGACGAAGATCATCACATCAATGAATCAAATAATACGGACATGCCTTTGGTATTAGCAGGTGAGAATACGTGTATATTGACTGAATACTTTAAGTTTAAAACGCAATTAGTTCACGTTCAAAAGAAAACTAAATGTAGACATGTACATGTTCTAGATCTGCATATTTCAGTGTGCGTATTTCGTATTGTTCAGCCAATTTTGTGTTGTTTTTGAACTTTGATGCTTTTAACAAACACTCATAAGTTCAAAGTAAAATTAAAGTTGCCATTATATTTAATAGATAGTTGTTTTGGGAAAATCTATAAGCCCGTGATCTGAAACAACCGGAAGCCCGTGAAGTCAAGTACACAAAGAGTGCATACGTCATTTTTACTTTCGCTTTTAATAGTGCAGCCGCTCTACCGCATATCGACTTGCTTATCATTTATTTAAAAGTGAGAAGTCGATGTATAATATCTTACATGACAGAATCAGTAGCAGGGTTTAAATAAGAAAACAGAGACGAAAAGTGTATTCGGGGTTGGCTTTTGTCAGAAGAAATCCTTCAGCAAATCATTGAAGCACAGATATGTTGTGGTAAGTAATTTGTTTAAAAGTATTTTTTTTTTAACAGAAATAAAAAAAAAACCTATCTAAGTCTGTTGCAAATTAGTAGGCCAAATCATAGGCGCTTGGGTCAAGGATACTGTATATTCTCTTTATAATGTATTGTCGAGGAAATTCGAACTATACTCGTAACATTTGTTTTAGTGCGCAGTGTTAATTTTTAGTTTTTTGTAAACCTATCTGCTTCATATACACCCGAATATAACCATGAAAACAGAATTTTCATTTTATGCATTCTTTAAAGATGACATATCCCACTGTACACTTATTAAAAAGAAACACAATATGAGGCCTGTGATTTCACCGACATCCTATATAATGTTACATGTAGTACAAAGTATGAGGCCTGTGACTTTACTGACACTCTATATAGTAATGAGTATGAGGTCCGTGACTTCAGGACACTCTATATAGTACTGAGTATGAGGCCTGTGACTTCACCGACACTCTATATAGTACTGCCCAGAGTATGAGGCCCCTGATTTCACCGACACTCTATATATTAGAAAATATGAGGCCCATGACTTCACGACACTCTAAATACACATGTGTAGTATTGAGTATGAGGCCTTTTATTTCACCGACACTCTGTATAGTACTACATGTAAGTATGAGGCCCGTGACTTCACGACACTCTAAATAGTATTGACTTTGAGGCCCACGACTTCACTGACATCCTATATAGTACAGAGTATGAGGCCCGTGACTTCACCGACACCCTTTATAGTACTGAGTTTGAGGCCTGTGACTTCACCGACACCCTATATAGTACTGAGTATGAGGCCCGTGACTTCACCGACATTCTATATAGTACTCAGAGTATGAGGCCTGTGACTTCACCGACACCCTATATAGTACTGAGTATGAGGCCCGTGACTTCACCAACACTCTATATAGTACTGAGTATGAGGCCCGTGACTTCAACGACACTCTATATAGTATTGAGTATGAGGCCAGTGACTTCACCGACACTCTATATAGTACTGAGTATGAGGCCCTTGACTTCGCTGACATCCTATATAGTACTGAGTATGAGGCCCGTGACATCACCGACACTCTATATAGTAGAAAATATGAGGCCCGTGACTTCATGACACTCTATATAGTACTGAGTATGAGGCCCCTGACTTCACCATAACTCTATATAGTACTGAGTATGAGGCCTGTGACTTCACTGACACTGTATATAGTTCTGAGTATGAGGCCCATGACTTCACCAATACTCTATATAGTACTGATTATGAGGCCTGTGACTTCACTGACACTCTATATAGTTCTGAGTATGAGGCCCATGACTTCCACCTACACTTTATATAGTACTGAGTATGAGGCCCATGACTTCACTCACATTTTATATAGTACTGAGTATGAGGCCCCTGATTTCACCGACACTCTATATAGTAGAAAATATGAGGCCCGTGACTTCACGACACTCTAAATACACATGTGTAGTATTGAGTATGAGGCCTGTGATTTCACCGACACTCTGTATAGTACTACATGTAAGTATGAGGTCCGTGACTTCACGACACTCTAAATAGTATTGACTTTGAGGCCCACGACTTCACTGACATCCTATATAGTACTGAGCATGAGGCCCGTGACTTCACCGACACCCTTTATAGTACTGAGTTTGAGGCCTGTGACTTTACCGACACCCTATATAGTACTGAGTATGAGGCCCGTGACTTCACCAACACTCTATATAGTACTGAGTATGAGGCCCGTGACTTCACCGACACTCTATATAGTACTAAGTATGAGGCCCGTGACTTCACCGACACTCTATATAGTACTGAGTATGAGGCCCTTGACTTCGCTGACATCCTATATAGTACTGAGTATGAGGCCCGTGACTTCATGACACTCTATATAGTACTGAGTATGAGGCCTGTGACTTCACTGACACTCTATATAGTTCTGAGTATGAGGCCCATGACTTCACCAATACTCTATATAGTACTGAGTATGAGGCCTGTGACTTCACCAATACTCTATATAGTTCTGAGTATGAGGCCCATGACTTCCACCTACACTTTATATAGTACTGAGTATGAGGCCCATGACTTCACTCACATTTTATATAGCACTGAGTATGAGGCCCCTGATTTCACCGACACTCTATATAGTAGAAAATATGAGGCCCGTGACTTCACAACACTCTAAATACACATGTGTAGCATTGAGTATGAGGCCTGTGATTTCACCGACACTCTGTATAGTACTACATGTAAGTATGAGGTCCGTGACTTCACGACACTCTAAATAGTACTGACTATGAGGCCCGTGACTTCACCGACACCCTATATAGTACTAAGTATAAGGCCTGTGACTTCGCCAACATCCTATATAGTAATGAGTTTGAGGCCTGTGGCTTCACTGACACCCTATATAGTACTGAGTATGAGGCCCATGACTTCACGACACTCTATATAGTACAGAGTATGAGGCCCATGACTTCACCGACACCCTATATAGTACTGAGTATGAGGCCAGTGACTTCACAGACACCCTATATAGTACTAAGTATGAGGCCCGTGACTTCACCAACACCCTATATAGTACTGAGTATGAGGCCCATGACTTCACCGACATCCTATATAGTACTGAGCATGAGGCCCGTGACTTCACCTACACCCTTTATAGTACTGAGTTTGAGGCCTGTGACTTCACCGACACCCTATATAGTACTGAGTATGAGGCCCGTGACTTCACCAACACTCTATATAGTACTGAGTATGAGGCCCGTGACTTCACCGACACTCTATATAGTACTGAGTATGAGGCCCTTGACTTCGCTGACATCCTATATAGTACTGAGTATGAGGCCCGTGACTTCATGACAATCTATATAGTACTGAGTATGAGGCCCCTGACTTCACCGATATTCTATATAGTACTGAGTATGAGGCCTGTGACTTCACCGACACTCTATATAGTTCTGAGTATGAGGCCCGTGACTTCACCGACACTCTATATTGTACTAAGTATGAGGTCCATGACTTTACTAACACTCTATATAGACTAGTACATGTACTGAGTATGAGGCCTGTGACTTTACTGATATCACTAAGTATAAGGCCTGTGTCTTCACCAACACCCTAAATAGAATTTAGTATTATGAGGCCTGTGACTTCACTGACACTCTATATTGTTCTAAGTATGAGGCCCGTGACTTCACCGACACTCTATATAGTGCTGTGTATGAGGCCAAAACCCTATATAGAACTTAGTATTAGGCCCGTGACTTTACTGACACTCTATATTTCACTTAGTATGAGGCCCTTGACTTCACCGACACCCTATATAGTATTGAGTATGAGACCATTGACTTCACTGATATCCTATGTAGTGCTGATTATGAGGTCTGACTTCATTAATACCCTGTACAGAATTGAGTATTAGAAAATAGACTGCTGATGCTCACTATGAATATATTTAGTTCCTGGTTCGAATTCACCTGCTGGCCCTCTTTATTTTATATGCCCCACCATGGATATACCTGGGGTTGATGTTTGTCCTCTCTGTCCTCTGTACTTTCATCTTTATGTCCCTCTGCTGCAGTTTTAATTTAGCTCAGTTCAAAGTTAATTTTCAAAGAAACTACACCAGATATTTTTATAAAACTTCATAATTATTCTGATAGATATTGATGAGCACTTTGAAACTGCATCAAGATTTTTGACTTTGACCTTTTAATTACTTTGGCCTTGACCTCACTTTTCTTAAACTAGTGTTTTAGCTTGATCAGTTTCAAATATACCATTCAAGATAATGTAATAAAGCTTTTTATGTTGATCCAAGGTCAAGGTCAAAAGGTAAAAAATGTTGGTATCCAATGAAAGGTCATGTCACAAAGAATATATACTGAGTATGAGAGATATGAAAGTCCTAGTATCTACCATTCAAAAGTTATGGCCAAAGTAAAAGTTTGGAATTTTTTAATAAAAGTGGGTCAAACACCAAGGTCAAAAGGTCAAATTTGTAGGTATCCAAAGAAAGGTCTTATCACAAGGAATACACATGTGAAATATGAAAGTCATAGCTCCACTAAATCAAAAAGTTATAGGCAAGGTTAAAGTTTTTGTGATGGACAGACTGACAGACAGACAGACGAATGAGATTTAATTTCTCCTCGCTTTCACGAAAGTGGGTAACAAAAATATATCTGCTGATGAAGAACAGCAATGTGATGTTGACGCAGGTGAGAGGTGAAAGTTTGGCCCATGGTCCTCTAGCTAATGTTAACAATGTAATTGACAGGTGTCAATTTGATTTTCTTTTACAGACAAATTTATTTATTCCAGATAATTTCCCTTAAATCATGTCTTGATGAAGAAGGCCATATATCTTGGTACGCTGCTGATGGTGTTTGAGAACTAGAATACCAATAGTAGAAGAGGCAGAGAAAAGGTGTCAACGAACAAACGAAAACGCATTATTATGAAGAAGACTAAAAGAAAACAAAACTGTTGAAATGTATACATATATTGCACGCTGATATTACTGTAACAGTACAATATCTGCAATGTTGATGTCAAATTTGATGCATTGCTGATGCATTTAGTTACAATAAACAAGACTGTTTAATTGGTGTTACATTTTGTTACCATATGTGCATTAGTTAGTACAATTCTCAGCTAAGCTTGGACTTTCAGTAAGACGTGGCATTCTTGACATTACATAATACTTCTGAAATTTACAGAACTTTCCTTCACTGTTGAAATAAACATGGGATAGAAATTTGGCCGAATATCAAAATATCAACGAGTGTAACAAATATCCAGTTACAAGGTCTCATACACCGAAGAGGTGGGGCTTAAGATCTCTCATCGTTGTCAACAACAATTTGAAGTTCCTGATGTTATTAATATCTTAACCAACAAGAATCTATTTGCCATTCGACAGATGCATATTATGTAGTGCCGAGAATGCCATATGCCTTATTGAAAGTCCAAGGTTAACTGAGGATTTTATTAAGGTGAATTGTATTCAACAATGAATTTTAAAGAATTTAAATGATAATTAATTGGTATATATCCCCCTCTGAAGAAGAGGGGATATATTGTTTTACCCTTGTGTGTCTGTTCGTTAATAAAAATAAAAAAAAAAATGTTAGATTAAAGCTTTACATAGGGATGTATAGGGAATTAATAGGCAGAAGGATAAAACATACACTCAAATAGGACATCGGGTCCCTCACAAATAGATCGTCTTTTTTGCATAGTAATAGAAAATTATAGGAACTCTTAAGGCATTAAACATGTTAAAGGCAAAAAAAAGGAAATTCATTGCTATCAATGCGGAGACCTCAGGTCACATTATATTTTGAATGATATTTTATATAATACAGTTTTCTTTGTCTTACTTATTGTACATCAGTAGGACCAGTGATCACCTTACATTGTACTGTACATGAGTATTGGAACCAGACGACACCGTATATTGCACATCAGTAGGGGGACCAGTGGTCACCCTATATTGTACATCAATAAAGACTAATAGAGAGAAAAGAGAAAACCTTACATTATATACCAAGAGGTAGATCAGAGTAACACCCTCACCAAAATACCAACCTTCTGGCAACATCTGGCATTTATTGCCGCAATATTGCAGCAACATTCCGACAATACATTGCAGCAATATTGCGGTAATATCGTTTTTCGTATGTAAATTATATTTGCAGCAATATTGCCAAAAAGGTGTTGCGGCAATGTTGCTGCAAAGCAATTGCATTACATGTTTTATTTCAGGTTTTGCTGCAGCAATATCGAGCCAACACTGCAGACTACTATATAAATTGGTATTTAATAGAAATAATGATCTATCAATCTAACAATTAACAAATTATGCTGAGGAAAATCAATAGCATAATAAGCTACAGAGTATATAATTAAGAAATACGTGTAGCTATTTTTAAAGCTTATGCTACTGTTCCTTGAAAAGATTAAAAAATTTTCTTGAAAAAAGATGTGTTTTTGAAACACTATGCCCCCAGCGGCAACACAGTTTGAAAAACCATTTTTAGCAAACAGGTCACAGTCAAAGTCACAAGGTCATTGATCTTGGTGTCATTTGAAAAAAACTTAATTAGTGGAATATGCACACTAAATATGATGTCTTTATCTCTTATGGTTCAAAATTTATGGTGGAGGTTTACAAAGGCTCTTTTTAGCATATAAATCACATTTAAGGTCACAAGGTCATTGACCTTGGTGTCATTTGAAAGAGCATAATTAGTGGAGAATGCATACCAAATATGAGGTTGCCATCTTTCATGGTTCAAAAGTTATGTCGAAGGTTCAAAAAATTTATTTTAAGCATATGGGTCATCGCAAAGGTTACAAGGTCAAAGACCTTGGTGTCATTTAAAGACCTAAATTATTTGAGTATGCATACTAGATATATAATATATGAACAATTTTCTTAAACAATGTAAATTATTCACAAGCAAGTTGATGAAACAAGCTAATATCAGCAGTCCCATTTAAAGTCATCATATCTTAGGTTCTATGGTGATTACAATGACCTTGTCAGCATATTCATGTAGGATGTCGGCGAAGTCACGGGCCTATAACTAGGTACTATGTAGGATGTCAACGAAGTCATGGGCCTATAACTAGGTACTATAAAGCATGTCGGCGAAGTCACGGGCCTATAACTAGGTACTATGTAGGATGTTGGCGAAGTCACGGGCCTATAACTAGGTACTATGTAGGATGTCGGCGAAGTCACAGGCCTAAAACTGAGTACTATAAAGCATGTCAGCGAAGTCACGGGCCTATAACTAGGTACTATATAGGATGTCCGCGAAGTCACGGGCCTATAACTAGGTACTATGTAGGATGTCGGCGAAGTCACGGGCTTATAACTAAGTACTATAAAGCATGTCGGCGAAGTCACGGGCCTATAACTATAGGTACTATGTAGGATGTCAGCGAAGTCACAGGCTTATAACTAGGTACTATATAGGATGTCGGCGAAGTCACGGGCCTATATCTAGGTACTATGTAGGATGTCGGCGAAGTCACGGGCTTATAAGTAGGTACTATAAAGCATGTCAGCGAAGTCACGGGCCTATAACTAAGATATATGTAGGATGTCGGCGAAGTCATGGGCCTATAACTAAGATATATGTAGGATGTCGGCGAAGTCACGGGCCTATAACTAGGTACTATAAAGCATGTAGGCGAAGTCACGGGCCTATAACTAGGTACTATAAAGCATGTCAGCGAAGTCACGGGCCTATAACTAGGTACTATGTAGGATGTCGGCGAAGTCACGGGCCTATAACTAGGTACTATGTAGGATGTCTGCGAAGTCACAGGCCTATAACTAGGTACTATGTAGGATGTCGGCGAAGTCACGGGCCTATAACTAGGTACTATGTGGGATGTCGGCGAAGTCACGGGCCTATAACTAGGTACTATGTAGGATGTTGGCGAAGTCACGGGCCTATAACTAGGTACTATGTAGGATGTTGGCGAAGTCACGGGCCTATAACTAAGTACTATAAAGCATGTCAGTGAAGTCACGGGCCTCATAATCAGTTGTGTATAGGGTGTCGGTGAAGTCACAGGCTGTATATCCATAATTTTGTTAGGTCTAGAACTTATACAGTTTTATTTTACTTTAAATATACACGTTCATTATCTTTGAAAATGTCAAAATTCATTAAATGCATAAAAAAGACTGTAAGTAAGGCTTATGTTTTGACTGTTTATCAATACGTCAAGAAAAGTACACATAAATCGCTTACGTTTCAATATATGTGTGTTTACAATCGAAATCACGGGCTTCCTGTTATCGAGTTCACGGGCTTATAGACTCTCCCAGTTGTTTTCAGTATGTGTGTACCAGTGTGTACATATCCCACTTTCACTTTGAATTTTTAGGGTGCTGGCAACATATGCAACAATACTTTCATCTGTGAATACCCACTTGCTAAGCCCACCATGATCTACGAATGCCAATTAATATGTAAGGACACCAATGATCAGGTAAATTTTTGTTTTGTTGTTGAAAATTTCTGTATTTCTAAAATTTCAAAAAATAAAGTCAAATTTCATTTGTGTCATTCTCATGATAAATCATTCATACGAGTTTATAAACATTTGATTTATATTTTGAAAAATAAGTGTTTGAAACACATAATACTTATGATGCTTGATTATTCATACAAACACATTATTTAAACACGTAATATCTATTTGAATGAATCCCGAGATATGAAACAAGCTGTTTTTATAGACTGCTGTTGTATTTCCAATCTGCATAAAGTTTGTGGTTAGAATTTCCATTTTCTCATTTTTTCAGACACTTTCCAATTATCGTACATCATATATATGGGTGGTCAAACTCACTGGATGGTTTATAAACACTCCCATGCTCACGAACAGCCTTGCCCCAGGAATTTTGCCCTGAAGTAACATTGCAGTCTATTGTCTCCCTTCTTTTTAAAACTCTGGCAGCCATGCAGGTATGCAATCTACAGTACCCGCAACGTTATTCTTGACAATTCTATCGTGTCCTATCGTGCGTGTATCCTATCGTATCGTGCGTGTATCCTATCGTATCGTGCGTGTATCCTATCAGGTTTTCCGTTTATTCTATCGTGTTTTGCGTTTATCAGTAATCTTATCGTGTTCTGCGTTTATCAGGTTTTGCGTTTATCAGGTTTTGCGTTTATCAGGTTTTCCGTTTATCAGGTTTTGCGTTTATCGTGTTTTGCGTTTATCAGGTTTTCCGTGTATCGTTTTCTCCGTTTATCAGGTTTTCTTTTCGTTTTGTTAAAAAAATCAAATTGCGGAATCATTCTGAACAATGGCGCCGAAGACGAAGGAAGGGAGAATTTCAACTGCAGTGAAATTAGCGATCATCCGATACCGTGCAACTAATCTGCCCATCCAGACCATTAGAGAAAGACTACGTGTACACCACAACTGCATGATCAGCCGTCAGGGGATATATGCCTTCCTAGAACGCTGGAAATGTGGCCGAGGTTTTGTTAGGAAAACCAGGACTGTGGGTGCGCATTCGGTGAAGTTGAAACCTCTACATATAAAGTTTATGGACAGTTGGATCTCCAAAAACAATGAAATCACAACACAAAACCTGAAAAGAAAACTGTTTGAGGTATTTGGGGTGAAAGTGTCGTGCAGCCTTATCAGAAAAAGACGACAGGAGTTGGGATGGAAGACAGTGGTGTCCAAGACGTGCCAGCTGATCAGCAACAAGAACAAGATGGTAGGTATTTATAAACTTTTTTCTGTTATTATTTATAATATGATTTTGGCAACGCAATGAAAATTTAATCAAACATCTTTAGCATAAAATTGGTGTCTACTAAATAATTGTAAATAGGCCTATAGATCTTTAAAAACATGTTGTTATAATATAAATGCACATATTTTTGTAATAATATAAAAAGGTGAAAGTTGATTAGAACATTAAGATCCACGTACATTCGTTTCTTTTTCATCTAATAAATTTGGATCAGATAATATTAATTAATATTCTGGTCTTGCTTGAGAATACCCTGTACATGCAGTGTAAATCAAAATGAAATTTACTGTGACTGTAAGAGATTG